AATCTTACTTTGATAACTGTAAATTCTAATATGTTTTATATGTGCATTCATTTCAGCTTGATGCTTTTTGTGAGGATAAGAATATTACCTGCATCAGTGATATTAGCTCTGGGAAAGAATTTATTGACTTCATTTCAAGACAGTAAGTAATTGGTTTGTTTTGTTTTATTAAATTAATGACATATTACCAACTGCTCCTTAAATATTACAATTTTGGGTGTACAAATCAATTAATGGTGTGCTATACTGCAGTCTGCTATACTGAGTTGTACTTTTATATACAGAATTTTAATTCTTGTATTTTCAGTGACTCTTCAAGGAACATAAACAATATTCAATCAAAAGAGGCTAGTTTTAATCTGGTTAGAGAAACATTAGAAGGTAAGTTAACACAGAGGATGAGATTTGAAGACTTAAATATGAGCAGAAAAATTATTCTTCATATGAACTAATAAGCAGGAGTCACCTAAAATGACTTGTAATCTCAATTATAAAATAAGTAGAAAATATTAAAAAAAATTCTTTAAAGCAGCTGTATCTGAAGTTAAAAATAAATAAACAAGAATGAAAAAAATGCAATCAGAAAGTCATAGATGTTTGAATTCATCAGGGTTTAAACTTAACTGAAATTTCCACGAGCCATGTGGGCTCCTGACATTTCAAATTTAGGAGCCCACTGTTAAATTTGTTAGCCCACAGTCTCTGTGATTTTTTGTAAAAAGCATAGATACTGGGACAAAAAGTAGATACAAATGAAATACATATAGAAATTCATCTGTTTAAAATTGGAGTTCTTACTTTATAAAAAAAATCAGATGTCATATAAATATTTAATCAAAGGAAATAAAATTGCATTCAATAAATAATTTTACTATCTTTTTTTTTTACTTGGTAATACATGTATATAAATACGTAGCCCTGGTACATGTCTTCAACTGATAAATTGACAATGACACAATAAGATTTTCTAGGTTAAATATTTTAACTACAACATATCTGAAATAGGTGAAAACACTTAGTATTCATATGACTGAGTAGTTGGGAGTTATTAAAATTGTATATCTCTCACGTATCAACCATTTACAGAGGGTTGGAGGAAATTCGGATTAGGAAAAGAGACGATCGTTTTAGGGAATTTCACAAATCGTTTAGTACTTTAAATGGAAAAGATGAAGAATATTTACGAACAATAGGACCATACTGCTGTGATTTATTTCATTTTTCTGTAGTTTTAAATCAAAAACCTGCATAAAATGTCTGTTTTTCAGTAAGGGGACTGGGAATGAATTCGGTCCCCTGCAGAATTTTTATTCGCCACGTGGGCGAACAACTTACAAATTTTATGAGCCCACACCAATTTTTACTCGCAATTTGCGAGTGGGCGAGCGTTAAGTTTAAACCCTGTTCATTAAAATGGGAAAGGAGCAGATAGTGGGCTGTGGAATGCACATGATATAGGTATATAAGATGAAATGTTCAAGATTTGAAGAATGTATTTGTAGTGTGTTGTGTCAGTTTTATTTTAGACAAATCCTCATTTATATCCTGCCTGTACATATATATGAATTTGTTTAGGTATTTATGCTACTGACCTATCTGGGACTGGCTCCATTATTGACTTCTCAGCGGTTTTTAATCTGAACACTGCACCAGAAATTCTAGAGTTTGAACTTGCCAAGGTATATTGAAGGGAATATAAATGTTTGATGGCCAGAATGACCTAAAAGTCCTTGAACAGTTATGATTCCATTAATCACTGAGTAATAAATTGCAATGGAAAAAACAATAAAAATATTCAGTACATTTACTCTTTGGAGCATAATTTTACATTTTAAAAGAACCATTTAATAGACCAGTGAGGAATGCACACTATTCAGAAAATGAGAACTTCAGAGTCTGACCATTTTTATTTATATATAAATATATTAATCATTACAGATTCTGCTTGCCCTTATCGGAGCCTACTTTCAGCCCACCAATGGAGATGTGGGAGTGTTTGCTAAGATTGCCTTGACCTTACCAGCTGACAAACAGGCCCACTTCCTACAGATGCTGGAACATATACTCAGTAAAGACTTAGATGAGGAATTTGTGGCAGTTTTATCCAAGAAATTAGGTAAGACTTTTATCAAAGAATATGAATTTACATGTAGGTAATATAATTATGTCAAAGAATAAGAATTTAGGTAATACTTTTTTCAAACAATATGAATTGCATTGTGCTCCCTTAAAATTCAAGTATTTATTCCAAGATTTTTGGATTTACAAATTGGAATAGTATAACATCAAAATTTCATTGTAAAAAAAATTACTTTTAGCATGTATAAACATTGTTTCATATGATTTCCTATTTTATTGCATATATGCATTCCCTCCCCCAAAAGGTATTCTCATGTCACTAAAAGATTTTTTGGTGCAAAATTATTTAATTTTTGACTAATTATGATGTTTTGAAACACAAATTACAAGGACACTATATTTTTATTGATCTGAGTTTTTAAAAAACATCTAAATTGTTAGAATTTTTCCAAAAACATCAATCATTTAAAAACATTACAGGTTCAGATAGCCTGTAGTGCCCCCCTCAATTTCTTTCCTTTGATATAGATTCTGATCCAGATGGTGCTCTTTTCTTGAAACTAGTGACCAGCCATCCTCGCCCCCTAGAGGCCTCCACGCCATTGTTGGAACAGTCGTTCAACTTTGCCAGTAGATGCATCAATGGTATCATAACCCTTCATCTGTCATTCATCTAATCATAGTAGACTAATCCAGTATTAGGCAGTTACCATTTAATGTTGTTCTTGTTTGTGTATTAAACATTTTTCATAATATGAGGGCTTTTTCATGTTTCAAGAAAGATAGTTCATAGTTTTTGGGTAGATAGTACATAGCAAATTGCTGAAATTATCTTTTTCATTTTGATAAGTATTTGTTTTAACATTACATAAGATAGATTTGTGAGTGTGTGTTGGGAGGATAAGGGGATGTATATTATAATGTATATAATATTTTCCGGTTAGTACCAATTTGAAATTTTGAATTTTGACATCTGGGGGATAATCTGCCATTGGAATCATACTAGTGAATAGCCAAATCTTTCTCTAAAACAGCATGAAAAAGCCAAGAATTTAAGTAATCCTATTTTTGTAAATTTCATTGTTGTAAAATTGCATGGTTAGCAAAAAAAAAATTATTATTATAATTCCAATGCATATTGCAAATATCTAGTGTTCAAACATATACTTCAGTACAGTAGTTTCAATGGATTGAGAAATATTTAAGAATAAAAAATATGGTGTCTTTTAAACCATTTATTAAAATGATTTTGCAAAGTATATAGCTAAGCACATATTACATGTAATTGTACACATGGATATTTATGTATGAGTATGTAACAACTATTTAGTTTAAACAGTTTGAAATACACAGAGATTTAAAAACAAACTAACAAAAAAAAATTAAAAACACTATTAAAAAAAATCCCCATAATGTTATTAATTTCATGAAGTTATTGTTATTATTGGATAACAGTTATCAATGAGTAGTTCCATTTACCTATAATTTTATTTTACACCTTTGTTTGAGTAATTGTTAACACCTCACAGATGTGGCTGTGTAAACAATGATAAGTGTTAATGTTTATACTGCAAGTCCTCAGGTGAGAAATTGACCTGTAGATGAGGTGTTGACAACTTAACACTCTCTTGTAATCATCTCATAGTCAATTAATTAGTGATGCTCCAAGCTAAGTGGGCAGCCATTTAACACTACAGCACCATCCTGACTAACACATTCAATTTCTAATCCTCATTCTGTTCACATGTTTCATGATCACCTCCTAGAGCTTCACAGAAAGAGAGAAATTCAAAATATATGAACATTACATGTACTTTCATTCCAAGTCATTGTGGATTTTCATCATTGCTTTATCTGGTTCTAGCAAAACTTTGTCAAGTTTTGAATTCTTAGAGCATTGAGTGACATGACTTGTAATGGTCCTTTGAATGTTTGTTTATATGTGCTTCAATATGTGATATGTCAGGCTCCATGAGAGACAGCCCTGCCCCCCTCCATCAACACAATACCAGCGTCGGGAACCATTCTATACTGGAGATTAATTCCCCCCTACGAATGATGTCCCTCAACTCCTCGCCCGCCCCCACCTCCCTCGGGGACCTCGTGCAGTCACCTCAACTCATGCAAAAGGTAAGCCGTCTTTTATTGTATGTGCTAGTAATTCTGACATTTATAAATTTAACAGTAAACTGTCAGTTTGAACTGCTTCTGTAGTCTTTAGCTAAGTTTTTTTGTCATGTTGATTGCAAAATAAGAGAGGAAGATTGATAGTGGTTTCTACATAAAATACATTCGTAGTTTCAAGCTGAAGATTTTTGAAATAATCAGTAAACTTTGATGGAATTGTAAAATGCTCTTAGTGTATTACATACTGCAAATTTTATGTTGTTCAGGCCCAGCTTCGACAGAAGGACAGAGAAATCAAGAGACTGGAATTTAATCTGCGAAGTGAGCAGCATCTGAGATGTGAACTGGAAATGGACCTTAAAGAAAAATGTTCTAAATTGGAACAAAAAGGTATACCATATCTACACTTAACTTAAGCTGAGATAGCTTATTGTGAATGAAATTGTCAAGAATAATTAAATTACAAATGATAGATAAAATGTGTCGAGAATAGTTCCCAGAAGTTTAACTGAAAATTGATAATACATGTGAACATTGAAAAGTCGATAAAAAGAAAATTAAATTGTACACATATTTTTAGAATTAAACATCAGGGAGCTTGAGGCTACCATAAAAGAACAGAGAAAACTACGAGATGCTGTTGATGAGCTGCACCAAGTTCAGAATCTAAATGAAAAACTGAATCAGGATTTACAAAGGTCAGAACTGTGATGAAGATTTTATTTGCCATTTTATTTATGCCTTACTTAACGATATTATATGAAAACGATTTTACTTGTATATTTTTTAAAATAATTATTATTTTCAATTAGTTGCAAGGCTAAAGTCACAGATTTCCAAGAACTGAAACAGCAGAAGGAGTACTTTGAAAAGCAGTACGAGGAAACTCTGGCCCAGTTCAATCAGATGGAAGAAGCTGTAAGTCCACTGAACAAAAACCTTTTGTTATCAATCTTGTTAATTCAGGAAGGAAAATGTGCATTTTTCTAACGAGAAAATGTGAATTTCTTAAGAGGAAATGTGAACTTTTTTTTGCATGTTAAATAACTAAATTGAATCTGATAATGCTCATTAAAAACTTTACTTTCATGTACTTGCAGATGCGCAGCCTTGAATCTCTGAAACAGAGTCATGAAAAACTCCGAGGTAAATGCCACAAACAGGAAGTGGAAATCTCCGTTCTACAGACCACGCTCCAACACAGGGCCGAGGAAATCAATGCTCTCAAAGGGGAAATGTCTACTCTGAACGAAGCCAGGCAGTGTGCCATTCAGCAGTTCAGCGACATGAAAAAGGAAAAAGAGGAACTGGAAGAAATGTTTGCTGCAAATGGTAGGATTTTATAGAGGGATAAAATTGAGCCTTAGATTACAGGATCATGAAATATTTTAAAATCAAAATGTATGTTAGTGGTTAAATGAGATACAAGTCAAACAATCCAAAAAATTCCAGTAAATCAAAAATATGCATAAACAAGAATGCAAAACAGCAATCCAATATTTACTTGAACCTGAACATGGATCAAGGAAATTTATTTTGTACTTAATTTTCAGGAATGGCTGGCGGTATAGGAGAGAGTATGGGGGTGGTGACAGACATCAGGATAAGAGATTTAGAGGCCGAGTTATCTCAGCTGAAGTCCACCTGGATTGACCCGGTAGTACACGATCAAGTCAGGAAGGACCTGCTGGAAATGTCGGAAGCCAAAGAGACTTATCAGGTAGGGGAAAAATCTCTTTAATTTGTGTTACTGATAGTGCAGGAATGACATACAATGTAGAATGTTATGGTTTTGAAATACTAGCAATAAAATGTACATTTGTTATTGTGCCTGTGTTGGAGTAATTCACTCACTTACTGAGAATTGGTAATGATTTCATTTGAGGTGTTTATATACATCTAATGAAAAATCTGCTAATGAAGCTGGGGAAAAAAACGAGGAAAAAAACTTTAATACTTTTACATACATGTATATTCTTATTTTTTATATAGCTAGTTTAATATTTTTTCAGACAAAGTTTTCGGAGGTTCACAAAGAACTGCTGGCAGTTCAGAGTGAGTTGGACACCACAAGGTCACAGGTCACCAGCCTGGAATCTCAGTTGTCAGAGAGTCAGCAGATCTCCCAGGAGAAGGAGGAAACCATCAGGTCCCAGGTCATGAAGATCAGGGAACAACAGGAAACACTGACGGCGGTCAGATCATCCGAGGAGAGTCTACAGACTCTAAATCACGACCTGGAGGAATCTTTGACCACTCTAAAGAAAGAACTGGCTCGAAGTCAGGCAGAGTACAAGTTACTGACAGAGGTAATACACTCATTTTTAATCTGAATAGAACTAAAAAAAAAAAAATAGAGACAGAAACAAGAAAGTCTACAAAGGCAAACAGTGTTTTTTTTTCCGATTCTCTAAAATGATTGGTAAGTGATCCATTGATAAAAATCATTCTCTTTTAGGAGTTTGAGAATGAGAAACAGATTCATGAGAGCAGAAGGCAGACAATGTCATCATCATTTGACACAGTTCAGTCTGAGAAAAGAAGCCTGGAGCAGACACTCAGTAAAGAGAAAGCCTCACTGACCAGTCAGATAGAAGAACTTCAAATCAGACTCAACTCGCAAACTGAGCAGGCTCGCAGCTCAGAGGAGGCATTGAAAACTAAACTCGCTGCAGCTCAAAACACCATCAAACAGACTGAGATTGTGCTAGAGAATGAGCGATGGACAAAAGACAATTACATCAAGGCACTGAAAGAGGAAATGACACAATTAAAAGAGGAGATTCAGCAGACTGAGGAAAAATTGAATTCTGAGATACAGGTGTTGTCCTCGAAGTCCAGACAGCAAGAGGAGGCGGCACAGAGGGAAATCTCTCAGAGGGATAATAGCATTGAGGAGCTGAGGCAACAGTTGGAGTCCTCAAGGCAACAGAGCAGAGAGCAACAAGACAAATATCAAGAGGAGAAGGATGGCCTCAACCAAGATCTCGATCAAGTCCGCAGCGAGAACGAGAGACTGAAAACCGACTGCGTGATCTTCCAAGAGAAAATTGATAGCATGAGTGTGAAAACCAAGTCCCAAGTTGAGGAACTTCAGAGCCAGATTTCATCATGGCAAGATAAATATCAGTGGAGTGTTCACGACAATCAGATGGTTGGGGAGCAGTTGAGTGAATGCAAGGCTAAACTAGAAGAAAAGGGTCAGGAGCTGGAGTCCTGCAAATCTAAATTGTCAACAGAAAAGGAGAAAAATATTCAACTCAGTGGCAGAAACGGTGATCTTGAAAGCAAACTTGAGACTCTGCAGAAATCTTTCAGTTGTGTGAAGCTAGAAAGTGAACAATATCAAAATGAAATTCTTGAACTGAAAGCTAGTTACAAAAGTTTGGAATCTGATATGCAGAACACTGTGGATAGCTTGAAGAATGACATTTCCAATTTCTCTTCAAAGAACAAAAAGTTACAAAGTGAATTAGAAGAGCTTCAAATTTCATCAATGGAGAAAGAACAAAACTTGAAGAAGGAACTAAATAGGTTAGAGCAGACAAGTAACGATCTTGAAAGCCGTTTACAACAAGAAATCAATTTCCACCAGGAGCAACTCCGACAACATGAGGTGACAAGTGAGCAGAACCAGAAAATTAACGTAGAAGTGGCCAGATTACAACAGCAGCTAAAGCATAGAGAGACAGAGCTTCAAACAGCAACGGAGGAGGTTCAGAAGAAACAGGACTTACTGGAGGAAAACAGTGGCCAGATGGCGCTGGTCAAAAAGGTCGCTGAGGTCAAACAAGCAGACAACGAAGAGCTGCAACAGAAGATCCAGCAACTGGAAAAGAAAATCAAAGAGAGGAAGGAAAATGAATGCGAGCTCATCAAAACGCAGAACAGATTGAAGGCCGAGAAGGATCAGTTTGAAAAGGGTCTGCAAGAGACGGAGACAACTGTTGGACAACTCCACAGAGAAAATGATGTCCTGGAAGTGGAAAAGAACAAACTGAATGGTTTGGTGGCAAACTTGAGGAGCAGTGTGGGAGAAGTCCGTGGCCAAAGAGATGAGCTGCAGACACAGGTAGATCAGCTTAAAGCTGAGAATGCCAAGCAAATCAGAATAATCTCTGACCACGAAGAGGAAGCCCAGCGTTTACAGCAGAAGATAACAAGTCTGCAAGAAGAAGTGGATTCTTTAACCAACCAAACCATATCTAGTAAGGCTAACATCCAACAATCTGCCTCCGAGTGTGAGAGATTGAAAGAAAAAAGCAGCAGACTGGAGGCGGAAATTCAGGATCTGTCTTGTCGTCTGGATGATCAGACCCAACAAAGGGAGTCACTCCACAGCAAGAATCAGGATCTAGAGGCTCAGATTATTAACTTCCACAATACCCTGGAGACTGAGAAAGAAAACTTAGAGACGATGGTCAGTGAGAAAGAAGAGGCCCACAAAAGGGTTGAGGCCTTAACAGGGGAAATTAATAGTCTTCAGGCTGTGCTCAGATCTAACAGTGAAGAATTTACAAGGGAGCTTGAAGAGAAAGATCAGAATATTCAGCTACTGAAAGAAAGTAATTCAAAGTTAGAGAGTGATCTTAGCTGTGAAAAAATGGAATCTGAAAGACTCCTTCAAGAAAAGAGTGATCTGGATAAAATAATACTGGAATTGAATGAAAATTCCAAGCAACTTCAACATTCTTTGGAGCAAATGAGATTAGAATACTCAAATACTGCAAGTGCATTGGAAACAATGACAACAAAATGTAGTGATGTTGAAAAGGAATTAAAATTGAAGGTCGAAGAATGTAACAATTTCTTAAAAGAAAAGGAGAGTTTGTGTGGAATGATTGAGACATTAGAATCCTCTCTGAACCAAATGTCATCCCAACAGGAAGAAAATCATAAACAACTCAGTGACATGTCTGAGAAATTCAGTGAAGCAACTCGGCAACTTGAATGCAAAGAAGAGGAGCTTGAGAAATTAAAATCAGAATTCGAAAAATCTTTAAAGGAAAAGAAACAAGTCATTAAAGAATATGAAGAGCAAATCATATTAACTTGTGAGGAACACCAGAAGAAGGTGTCATCTTTACAAGATGAAATGTCAGAAGTTAAGCAGAAAAGTGAAGAAAAATTGAAGAGTTTGATTGCTGACTATACAGCAAGCAACCACGAACTTAAAGAGGTCCAACACAGGCAGTTGACGTATGAGAGGAAGACAGGAGAACTCGAGAAAATGATAAGTATGGAGAAAGAAGCTAAAAAGGAATTGAAGGCCATGTTTGAGAAAACAGTGCAGGAACTGCATGGAGATGTGGAATTTCAGACGAAGCGGAACCAGGAGTTAGAGAATCAAGCTCAGAGGAGACTGAAGGAAACAGAGTGCTACTGGAGAGCACAACTGGAGCAGTTAGAGAACGAGTATTCCAGGGCTTCTGAAGAGGTGAAAGAAAACTACAGCTCAGAAATATCGGAGAAACTGGAGCAGGTGACGAGTCGCTATGAGGCCATCGTGGCCGAGAAAGAGGGCATGTGGAGTAATCAGAGACACATGTTCCAGGATCGCGTAACTCACCTGGAGGGGCGGGTCGCCCAGCGACAGAGGGAGCTAGAGGAAATGAGAGAGAAGAACAGAAAAATGGAGGATCTTCTCACAGAGGAACTGAACAGCCACATGGAGCTGAAGACAATTACCAGCGAACTGAGTTCCAAGATTACAGAGAAAGACAACGCGATCAAGGAACGTAACGCAGCAGTGGCTCAGTTACAGAAGAAAGTGAACGAGAAGGAGACGGAAATCAGCAGTTCTCGTCAAAAGATCTCGGAGCTCCAACAGGACGTTCAGTCCCTGCAGGACAAGATTCAGTGTCTGTCAGAGGACATGGAAAATCAGACACATAATACAGGTGGCTTACAGAAGGAGATAGAAGTGTGTAAAGAACAGAGAGAGGTGGCCCTAGCAGAGATCAACAGTTACAAACAACAGGTAACCTCCAAGTCTATTTTACAGAAAATGGTGAATTTTGTACTTCTTTTTCTTGTTTCTCAGAGATCAGAATATTTAATACTGTGTACCTTTATTATGGAACTGTTTTGTTTTTTGAAGCTTGGTGCAGTAGAAGCTGAAAGAGATAGCCTACAGGAAGAAATTGAAGGTTACTCAGAAAAGGTATTAAGTTGGAGTGATGTAATAACAACGTTCTTGGAAGCGTTTTAATGTTGGTTCAATTTCATTACTTAGATGTAATTTTTCCCTCCAACAGTTTGAGAAATTCCAAGAAAACCTTGAATACAAGCTCAAACAGGCAGAACTGCAGGTGCTGGAGACCAAAAACCAGAAGGAAAATTTTTGTTTTTTTGAAGAACGAGATTGGTGCTGTAGAAAAGTTATTCTGAAAGGGATAGCCAAGCACAAGGTAGAACATTTTATGAAGGTTACTGTACACATATTTAGTACAGGGCTGTTTAGAGTAATCTGAAGTAAGAATTAGAAATTTTAAGATTTGATGTCTTGTCACCTCCTTTCTGCTCTCAGTCCTTGTGGAACAAAAATTTATACAGTTGATGTTTTATCTTTGCAGCTGGAGAATGAACTAAAACAAGTTCAGGCTGAGAAGGAGAAAACGGAGAAAATGCTGGATAGCTACAAAATTCACTACAGTAATAAAAAATCAATAATAGAGGGCCAGAGCAAAGAAGTTGAGAGTTACAAAAAAGTGGCTCACGAGTTCCGACAGAAATCAGAACAACTCAAATGTGATAATAAGGCACTGAAGGTATCTACAAGTATTTCATTTGCAGTATCCCATGTAAAAGTATCAATAGAATTTTTCTTTCAAAATCTTTTAAAAATTTGTTTTGTTGCCCAAGTGGCTGAAAATGGTCTGACTCAAAACTTTTTTTTTCACTCCCAGGAAGCAATTATCTTTAATATACACATTTAAAAAAAAGATTTTACTGCATTGAAATTTTCTGGTGCTTAAATGTTTAATACTTTAAAGTTGGCCTTATACACTTAGCTTTATGTTATTAAAGATAATTTACATTCTGGATTTTTATATTGTTTTTTTTTTTTCATAGAACACCTTGGATGAGATGAAGTCAGAAATAGCTTCCTACAAATCTCAGCTGGAGAAGGCAGAGCATAATGTGTCTCCTTTACAGGAGGAGCTCCAAGCAGAGTGTTTAAAAAACAAAGCCCTCAGTAAGTTTTAATAATGCATTATTTTTACAGAACCCCCCCCCCCTCCCCCTTTAAGTTTGCATTGTCCCCTCCCCCTTAAATTTTTATACGCCCGTCTTAAAACGTAATGTTAGGCTGTGTCCGTCCGAGAAAACAGTAAAATGCTGTCTGTTAGCAGCTATAAAATTCACTAGGCCTAGGATTATCAAACTTTGTCATCTGATGCATCTTGGGTAGAAGGTGTGTCGCAGCACAAAGAAGTTGAGAGTTACAAAAAAAGTTATAGCCAAATATTAAAAAATCCTTTCCGGCCCATAACTAGAAAACCATAAGACCTACAATCATCAAACTTGGCCAGTTTATGCATCTTAGGTAGAAGGTGTGTCGCGACATTTCAAGGTCACTGTGACCTTTAATTTAAGTGAATTTTTTTTTTAAAAAATGTGTCTTTTTACCATTCATTACACATCCCAAATAATGTAGAGTATTGCATTTCTTTCAAAAAAGTTTAAATCAAGCAAATACTTATTTTTTTTTAAGCATTACTTGACAGCAATTAAAAAAATATAATGTATGTTGTCCCATGTCTCCCATGAGTGTAATTATCAAGCACTGGTCAAGAAGAATTTTGATAACAGAAAATTGCATGTCAAATTAGAGAGAAATTTTTTTGAGTGCGAGGAGTTAACTGACAGGCATTGGCATTATCTATATCCCTATGCATTAAGCCTGTTTGATTAAAAATAGCTCTTGTTGACTAGAAGTTTTGAAATGAAATTTGATGAAAAAATTAAAACTATTTTGATATTGCATAATAGACTAATCTGATATTAAATATTATTAATTTAAAAACTTTTTAAAGTTGCATGTCCATATGAATACATACTTAGCTTTATGTTATCTCAAAGAGAGTATTTTATATGTTTTTTTTATTTAGTGCAGAACATCTCTTGGATGAGATGAAGTCAGTTAAAGATTAATTAATGAGTTCAATATAGGAATCTCAGTCGCTCTGATTAAGCAGCCCTTTGGGGAAGGCAGAACTGCTGGTAGTTATGTATGTCATTTGATGGCCTTTTTTTTTCAAAATTAATTTGGTATAGATTAAGTTGTTAAGACTAATTTGATGATGTTTGACAAAACACAACCAGCACAGAAATCTATCAATGATGTAATTTTATTATAATTGATGCCTACATCACAGGGGATATTTATTTTAAGGAATGGAAAAATCATTGAAATCTTAAAATCAAGGTTGATGTGATTTTTTTGCACCTAAACTGTTCAAATTTTTTTTTTATCATTTGACTTTATTTTTTTATTTGATGCTCATTCTCTTTTTTATACTTATAAATACTTGATGTTAGAATGAAAACATTCATTTTTTCAGACAATGAGATCAGGAGCCTTAAAGTCCAGTTAGACCACGCCTCTAGACAGCTACGTGACATGAACAAAAGCGGTGGTAGGGTGACAGAAAATGCAGAGATGTTCACCACTAACAAGGTCATTGACTCCATCAAAATGCAAGGTAAACTACTGCAGTTTTGCAATTTTTATCTTGAAATATTTGAATTTTTGAAAGCTCCTCAAAGAAGGAAAACTTGTTTTTGTGGGATATTGATTTTTTTTTTCAACAAATCTTTTTCAGACCATGAAATGGGGCATGCCTTGTTCGGAAAGACAGAAACCAAGACAATTCTAAAACCTCGGGAAGTCTTAGATTCCTTGGATGATTCTATCTTCATGGAGTCTCCACCCAAACCAGAACATGTTAAAACTGTTAGCAATATAACCCTAAAGAGGTAGGCAGTGATATGAAACTTGATTGACTCTAAGTAAAAATTCTTAGTTGTTAGACTTTTATACCAGTTTACTGGCTTGAAATATTTGATTGTATTGAGTATGTGTGGAAAAAGAAAAACATTTCAAAGTGAGATATGAAAGACAAAGTGCTAGCAAGTTAGAAGGGTACTAATGTACTCAAGACATTGTGCGAAATTTTGTGATTGATTCTTTTTTATTCTAAACAATTCATTTACTTGAGTTTAAAGGTGCAGATATGAACAATTCGGGATGTTTTAATTCAAAATTGGTTATAAATTCCATCTTATATCTTTTTGAGGTTATAAGAGCTGAAAATATTTCTCAGAATAAGTTAAAAACTTTTATGTTTACTTTTATCCTTTACAGTGAAGCCCTGGATACCTTATCAGAACGTCGGATGTCCCTGAGGAGTTATTCCAATCGTCTGTCTAGCTCAGACATGAACCAGAGTATGTACAGTACCAGCTCAGCGGCTTCAACGGCTAGTGTTCCACGTAAGTACACACTGAAATCACACTCAAAACTTACTAAAAGTCATCAAAAATTATATACATAAACACCACACACTTTTATCCAAACCATTAATGAAAGACATGACCTTTAATTGAAACTTGTTTATATGAAATTTCAATTCATCTTTGGTGAAGTAAATGTAAATGTCTTTTATCATGTTTAAATACACATGCAAGCCAATGCAGGAAAAAACACATTCTCACAAAAAATCTGTTTGGGAACACTCTTTACCCCATTTATGTACATGTAAATGTGGTGTTTTCTTGCACTCTACATTTTTGTAGGTGATATTGAGAAGGGTTTTCATGTTTGGTATTACAGGTGGCATGTTCCACTGCGAGGATGAACCGGAGGAGTTTGAGTGGAACCGCCTGACGGAGCTACAGCGCAGGAACACCCTGTGTCTGCCCCACCTCAAAACCTCCTACCCTGTGGAGACCCAGCGCGTCAAGCCTAAAGAAATCAGCGACGACGCACTGCGCTACAGTCTGATGCCCAGTGGGAGTGGCAAGAAACGGAAACAGACACAGTCAAGTGACGAAGATGATGCAAAATCCATGCAGCTACGAAGCAGTAAACAGGTTATTATTCTTTTTCTTTGTGATATAAGGTGCATGTGAAAAGTTACTGACATATTGAATAGAATTTGGAGGATTTATATTGTATTTGGGATTTTATCTTCATTTTATCCACACTTTAGCAGAATTGAGTAATGATACATTGTATTAAAAGATGCTGTCTTGTTGAAGGTATTAAAAAAAAAATTACATATTTTTGCAGTCTTCTTCATTTAATGCTTGAACATAATACTAATGTTTTCCGAGGAAAATGAGACTGAAATGCATAAGTAGTAAATTCATTCCAAAATTTTCTTGTTGCAGGAATTAAGTAAAAAGATCTCAAAAAACCTTTTTCAGGCAAAACATAGTACTAGCCAGAAATTGGGAGCTTTAACCCCTTCCAGACCTAACACTCCCAGGACGCCCTCTAGTTCTAAGAAGTCAAAGAAAACACCTGGGAAGCAGAAGACCCCCAAACTCAGCATGAACAGAGAAAACGCATCATCAGTCAAAAAGGTCAGTGTTAAAAATAACTAATTCAGATGTGTAGTTCTTCCAGAAATTAGCACAAAAAAGAAAAAAATAAACAATTGACTCCTTTTATTTACACGCAGTTTACTGTATAATGTCCTAGCTAGTTTCTTAATTCCATGATGTATTATTTCAGTCAAGACTTGGAGGACTGAAATTCAACATTGGTTTTACACCCAAGAACAAGAACAAAGAAAATCCCAAGAGCACATCTAAGGTGGGTAGTCTTGTTAAGTTATTTGAGTTACGAGGATCACAGTCATCTGAGTCCAAAATACCCACACCTGTCAAACATAAAGACCTCAGATCATCAACTGTGGTCAAACATTCAAAAATGACTCCAGTGAAAAATGGTGATTCCAAAATACCAACTCCAGTGAAAAACAAAGATTCATGTCATACACCTGTAAAACAAGGGAGCATTAATTGTAAGACGCCATTGAAACTGAAAGGCAGTAAATTTCATACACCAATCAAATCCAAGCTTAGATCCCAGTTTGGATCTGCTGATCCAATCAAATTGGCTGTTACTCCAGTTAAGGTTTTAGGGAGTATTGTACAAAAAATCTCAACTCCAAAAAGGTCAAACAGGGTCACACCAATGAAGGTCAATGAAAAAGAATGATGTTTGTACATTCAGTAATGTATTTGCTTCAGAATTGTTTTTTGATAAATTGATTTTGAGTGCATTTGTGTTGTTTCAAAGAAATACATTGCACATGTATAAAGGTTTGTTATATTCATACACTGTTAGAAATTGAACACTGGATTTCCTATATATAGGATGGTGGTAGGGAAATACAGGAAATTATTTTCACTTTTGTGTGTCACCTGTTTTCCTTATTGTAACAGTTAGAGATAGGGAGTCAGCGGCTTTATCTCTGGTAGGTCTCATGTTCGACTCCAGATTGTGACACTGAATTATTTTACTAATCCTTAAGGCCGGTTTACACTATGCATCTTGACATATGCATCTTGGATGCATGTTTCAAGATTCACAGTGTAAAAGCCCCTTGTGTCAAATTAAATGGGTGTTGCGTCTTGAACGATGGAATAGAACTTGTTCTATTCCGTGCTTCAAGATGCATGGAACTTACCAATGAAAAGAAAGGTCAGAGTTGAGATTGAATCATGAGCCTTATTTTTTTCATTTAGTTTCAAAAATGGCTTCCCAAGATACACAAAAACAGAAAATACTGATTAAAACTACAATTGGAAAAAACTTATTTGATAATTATAATATAGAGGAGTTTTTGTTTTGGAATAAATATAAATTATATCTACCAAAAATTATCATAAAAAGGAAATTAAGAATGATTTGTTCAGCTAAAATAAATCTGGAAATGAAATTTGAAGGTATTGTTCCTTTTTTAAGTAGAGAAATTTCATTTTTACAAAGTATTCTAAAGATGCATGCATCAAGACACATAGTGTAAATAAGAAGATGCATGAGGCAAAATTGAAGCATGAGTTTAGATGCATGTGTCAAGATGCATAGTGTAAACCGGCCTTTAGACTGATGTATGACATCTACTTGTACAAAGCAGGGCACAATTTTGTTCTCTGCATGTTTTGATTTGTACACCATGTTTTTCAGCATATAAGCAGAAATTATAGTAACTTGGCAAAGATGGTCTAGAGGGTGTTAACCAAATGTTGAATAATAATTCAATCATAATTCTTGGCACTTTCTAATCCTTATTTTTTGCATGCATCTCAATGGAATATTTCACATCTTTGTTTCTTAATCACTTTTCATAAAATTGCCATAATATTAATACATGTATGATGTTGGGAAAAGTTTCAAAATTATTGAAAACAAACACATTGTAAAGAAAATGTGCTTACTTTCTCAAATTAGTTTTCATATCTACATGTACTTATTAATATATGTATTATTAAGAGGTATGTTTTAAATATGAAATAATTTAGTTTTTTCTTCTTTTTCAGGCCGATAGAAAGCCCCTGAAAAGCAAAAATTGGTTTCAAATGGGACATTAGCCAAATAAAATGTAATGATCAATATCCTTGCAAGCTAAGGAAATGGAGCTCACATTTTTTATTCCTAAAAGCACAGACTGAAGAAAGAAAAAATTCTGTGATATCACTGAGTCAGTTGATCAACATTTACTTAAAAACTGCATCTTGAATTTTAGAAAAATGGTGGCAAGGTAAAAATACATTAAATCTTGCCAATCTTGTTTATTATTCAGTTCAAAATTGTGTATTTTGCCCAAATTTCGCCATGTACAAAATGTAAATTGCCATATCAGTAAGTTTTTGCTTTAATTTATGTACATTGTTTGTAAATACATGTTTGTATGATGCTTCTTTCTCGACAGGGACAAAAATTATGCTTGAACAATGTATATGACAATTCACTGTAATCTAAGATTCTTTAATGAGCCAAGAAGGGTTGTGATTTTTTTTATATGTGTATGTATGTGCCCTTTGTTTTACATGTGTATATTGTATAAATGGAATCATGTTTTACTAGTCACGTAGAAATGTAGATCTGTGTAGACATTATTTATTGTGTGTAATCATGTATGTTTTGCTTTGTATCTCAGTGCTCATCTTACTTCAAGCACATGAAAATGGCAGCAGTAAAGGAAGTAAAAATATATTGATGTTTTTTTTTTCTTGTTTTTGGACAAAGGGTTCATATGAAATAGCAAAACATTTTCTTTGACTGATATTTATCTCATTTATATCTATTTATTGGCCATACTGTAGCATCCCTGGTTAAAGTATTCAGGGCAAATTTATTTCCGAATTTGATCAAAGTTGTATGGATGTTGCTTGTAGTATGTTTCATTAATGTACTAAGTTAGATTTCAAATGCTTTATTTCGCCCAATATTAATACTTTGTAAAAGTCAGTCACCAGGTAAATGTTTTTGGAGCCATTAAATGTTTCAGAGGCAACATTTATTTCAAAGTAAACTTAAAGCATAATCTCTGATATCTTGCATGGATGACGCATCTAGGGATGTGCATTATCACATCTGCTTTGAATCTCAGGCATTATTATAATAATTACTATGTGATGATAAAAAATTAAAAGAAATGTCTAGAGACACATGCTCTGAGCATGTGCCTGAAATGCTGGATCTGACCTACAATTTCTGAGAGTTTTATATATAATAGGTCCATTTCCATATAACCATAAATCCAAAACAAAAACAATATTGCATAGATGTTCCTTTAAGGGGATGCACAACCAAAACTTTGCCTTATATATGACATTTCTTGACTTGAGCGTTGTTTCCTTGAATTTCCTGTATAACAACTTGTTGCCTTTGGATGACTACGGTTTATTTATTGTTTTTCAATCCATCAACTTAGGTCAATATAGAACAATAAGACATTTTTTTAAAAACTGTTTTATATGAAATTCAAATATTTCAAAATGCTACTTATAAAATGACGAGCAAATGAACATGGAACTTTTTTAAGATAAAAAAAAAAACAACACTCCAGAAATGGCATTCAGTCTTCTTTAAGAGTAAATACTGTGATTCTTGAAGACCTGAAAGTAAAAAAATATAGAGTAAAACACATTTATAAAGAACACGCTTATACTGCATTGACGCTTACAACAACTGCATTGACGCTTACAGCAGTCAATGAGTGATTTTCATTCCCCTACATTTTTAGATATAACAAAGCAAAATTGTCCATTCCTGCAAACACTTCGTTATCAGCTTGTTTTACTTAAGTGAGGAACTACACCTGTACATGTGTTAATCAAAAGTCTTAGATGATATCACCTCTTTTTAAATAATGAATTGTTTCAGAGTTTTACAGAAAAACTTTCCTGAAAAATAATTCTTGGTACCAGTCTCCCGAGAAATGTACTAAAAAAGGAACTACTAGTGATTCGAAATATCTTTATAATACTAATATGCCATCTTCGCTAGCCAAGGGTTTCTGATATGCTCCTCTCCTCATAATCCCTTGGCATACGGTGAAGTCAAAAGACAGGATTTTTTTTCCGTCACATGATCTCGAATCTATCAGGTACGCACAGATTGCGTCATCGCCAGAAGTAAAGACACGTGTTAAAAAAAATTAAATCAAAGTTTTTTCAAGAATAATTAAGAAGCAATAAATGAATTATGTTTATTCATTATTTATAGAACAAATCTGAAGCTTCAATATAGATTCTTAATCACATATTTAGAAGATATTGGATGACACCATGGCTATTCATAGAATTGAATGTTATCTTACGGATCGTTTACTTGCGTTTTTCATTTCCCAGATTAAAGAGTGAAGATGTATCCCGAACGCAAATATCGTCATTTACAAAAAACAATTGCTGATTAGTCGACCTGTATGTACTGAAATCCAATCAGAACTCTGGACAAAAATCCTGATTTCTATGAACACCGTAGGCCAAGGGTTTATGAGGAGAGTAGCGTATCAGAAACCCTTGGCTAGCGAAGATGCTAATATGCATACTTTTCACTTTCTTTACTGTAACAAAAATTTGATGCTTTATAAGATGATAAAATGTTTACTTGGCTTTTAAACAGCTTGACAACACAAAATGGTGTAGATTGCTGGCGTCTGTGGATGTTGATATCTGGCACCTGATATCTTTCTAAAGTAATTTCACCACCCGATGAATCCGAGGTAAACTCTATTTGCTGAAAATAAATTTATCTCTCTGAGATCTTTAACCACTAATTATTAATGATCTTGGCTTAAAATATTTAATTTCATCCTTGAAGCATGCACTGGTACTTGAGTCAAGAGATGTACAAAATCTTATAGTAGTATGCTTTTAAACACTACATTTCTAAACATATATTTGATTAAATTTGTAATTGTATTCTTATTTTTTAAACAACTTCCAATCACTTTATAATTACTTATTTTTGTCTCGTGCTGAAAAATTGTAATGACAACACACAAATTTCAATCAACACTCTGTTTTACGGGAGGTAAATCTGCCGGTTTACATTTTTTTCTGCGCATCTTTTTTCATATGAATGTTCATGACATATTACATATAGCATACCAGCATTTCTACATAATATGAGTTGTAATTAATTCATTGAGAAATTGTTTTAACTTTGGAGGGAGATTGGACATGGGCGGATCTAGAGGGGGGTCGGGGGGGTCAGGAACCCCCATGGAATTTCCAAGGTTACAAAATGTATATACTAAAGCAAGAAAAAAGTTGCCATGGACCCCCCTGGTAAATGCGATTATGTGTGGAATAGGTAGGAAAAGTGAAAGATTTGAGGCAAAAGAAGTCATAACCCCCCCTCCCCCCTTCCAAACACGAAATAGGTTTGTGACGTTTGGGCGAGTGTAATTTTTTATTATAATTTTTTTTTTTTGCTTGTCAGGAAATTTCTGGGATTGTTTTTTTTTTTGACTGGGGTGGACCCCCCCCCTGGAAAAAAATTCTGGATTCGCGCCTGTTGGAGATTATAATATGCATTATTCTGTAGATAAATTAACTGATTTGTTAGTTATACCTGCTGGTTGTCATTTTCCAGGTCTGAAAACTTGTCAATGTCAGAAACTGACAATTCTGTATCACTTAGGTCTTCCAGTGTCACAATGTGCATATCTTCTCCTGTCAAAGGTTATCAGAAAAACTCATAGAAATATTCAACAGAATGCTCAGATGATTGCAAGTTAAACTAGTGCTAATTGTAACGGGGACCGTTACAGATGTTCCCCAAACGCTCCCCAACTCCCTTTTGGTGCCATATTCCCTGTAAGCTTCATTAAATAAGACAACCTCTATGCATCTGAGATTTTAACAACATTAACAAAGAAGTGTACAAAAATCATTTAAACTTTAGCATTGCATGCGTGCATATGTGAATGCATCATGACCACATCATCTTGTCTACACAATCTATATTTTTAATATACTGAATATTAAAGTATTTAATCCAAAATTATTTTTTAAAAAATACGCTCATTCAAGTGTATGTCTGATTTTACTCATTTCACGTGCACGCACGTGCATACATGAGCATGGTGACCATACCTTCTTGTAGAAGTCCATTACATCTATCTATGTTCTAAATTCCACCCCGTTTGGGTGAAAACTAAGGGAGTTATAGCTGTTTAAAGTTTCAGCCAATCAGATTGCAGCACATGTACACGCACGTGTATGCATGTGCATGGTGACCATACCTACATGTAGAAGTCCATTATATCTATCTACGTTCCAAATCCCATCCTGTTTGGTTGAAAACCAAGGGAGTTATAGCTGTTTAAAGTTTCAGCCAATCAGATTGCAGCGCACGTGCATGCACGTGTTTTCATGATAATTGCTTTATTTCATGTTGAAGGATATCCTAATGCATGGCTATGTTCAAAATTTCAAAGGATTTCGTCAAAAAACAAGAAAGATATTGAGACTTTAGTTGCAGCCAATCAGAGCGAAGTGCACGTGCATGCGCGTGAGATCTTGCTATTTTCACCATGTCGTCATGTCTATACTACTAATATATCCTCACATAATGAGTTTCAAAGCATTTCATTTAAAAATAGAACAGTTGTGGCTATATCTATTATATTGGTCATTTCACGTGTTGCACGTGCACGCTCTTGCAAGCACGTGCGCGCAAAATGACCTTGATTCCGCAAATCTACATAACATGTCTACTAACCCTAAAAAGGTTTTACTTACATCGGACGAACAGTTTACAAGATCATTCCCGGACAAAAAAGTTCCAGGAAGAAGAAGAAAAATAATAATAATAATAATAATAACTAGTGCTAATTGTAACGGGAACCGTTACAGATGTTCCCCAAACGCTCCCCATTTCCCTTTTGGTGCCATATTCCCTGTAAGCTTCATTAAATAAGACAAACTTTATGCATTTGAGACTTTAACAACGTTTACCGAGAAGGGTACAAAGTTCATTCAAATTTTAGCATTGCACGCATGCGCATGTGCGTAATGACCATATCATCTTGTTTACACAATCTATATACTTTAATATACTAAATATTAAAGTATTTAATCCAAAAGTATTAAAAAATACGCTCATTCAATTGTATTTTTGATTTTACTTATTTCACGTGCACGCACGTGCATACATGAGCATGGTGACATACCTTCTTGTAGAAGTCCATTACATCTATCTATGTTCTAAATACCACTCCGTTTGGTTGAAAACCAAGGGAGTTATAGCTGATTAAAGTTTCAGCCAATCAGATTGCAGCGTACGTTCATGCACATGTACGGTTGTGCATTGTGATCAAACCTTCTTGTAGAAGTCTATTATATCTATCTATGTTCCAAATCCCATCCTGTTTGGTTGAAAACCAAGGGAGTTATAGCTATTTAAAGTTTCAGCCAATCAGATTGCAGCGCACGTGCATGCACGTGTTTTCACGAAAATTGTTATATATGATGTTGTAGGATATCCTAATGCATGGCTATGTTCAAAATTTCAAAGGATTTCATCAAAAAACAAGAAAGATATTGAGATTTTAGTTTCAGCCAATCAGAGCGAAGTGCACGTGCATGCGCGTGAGATCTTGCTATTTTGACCATGTCATATTGTCTATGCTACAACTATATCCTTATATTACGAGTTTCAAAGCATTTCATCAAGAAGGTAAAAATTTACGCCGATATCAATTAAATCGGTCATTTCACGTGTTGCTCGTGCGCGCTCTTGCAAGCACGTGCACACAAAATGGCATGTTGACAATGTCATCTTATCTACATTTATAATATGTCTACATATTCTAAATATCAAAGCATTACATCGAAAAATGTAAAAGTTACAGCAATTTCAAGTATATTGGTCATTCCACGTGTTGCACGTGCGCGCTCTTGCAAGCACGTGCGCGCAAAATGACCTTCGTTCCGCACATCTACATAACATGCCCACTTACCCTAAAAAGGTTTCCCCTTAATCGGATGTGTACTTTACAAGATCATTCGCGGACAAAATTTTCCCGAGAAGAAAAATAATAATAATAATAATAAGAAACAGAGTAAAAACAATATGTTCCCCAACTTCGTTTGGGGAACATAATAATAAGAAACAGAGTAAAAACAATATGTTCCCCAACTTCGTTTGGGGAACATAATTACTGACCATTTCATGCATGTTGAAATATTGCAAATGTACCTTGTGAAATTATATGGGGAATATGACACGAACTGAAAAACCGATCTGGAAAATTTCACTTTTGAAAAAAGATTTCTATTCAGGTATTAAGACTGATATAAACTTTAAAGCATATTTTTGGGCATTTTCTTTATCAGAAAATGGAAAATTGTTTTAGTTGCAAAGAAATTTTGGCAGTAAAAATTTGCTTTAGAAAAAGGTTCAAGTCCTTTTTTATGAAACAAGAGGCCCACGGGCCTTATAGGTCACCTGAGCATTATGCAACAACTTTCCAGTAACAGTGTATTGAATTTGATTCATGTTTTAAGCCAGATGCTATATGGCATTCACAATTTTGAAAGAGGCACCATTGATCATCATAACAATAAACTTAGCAGTTGCTTAGCTTGGTTACTGAATACCCATACACAGGGTAGGGGAACAAAAATGCACTCCAACTAATCAGTAATATTCATCAATAATCAGTAGTGCCCCTAAAACTCTGACATAAACCCCTGACCCTAGGTTGCACAAATTTTTAAAAGGCATCCTTAAAATTGCCTATAAAAAGTAAATAAATGTTTTATATATATAAAGGACCAGATTTCAAACAATTAACTTATTTTCAGTATATAAGTAGAGCCCCCCCCCCCCCCACCCCTGACCCTGGGGCATTGAATTCACAATTCTGCAAGATTAGGGCCCTTGCCCATCTTAACTATATAGGTAGTTCATCTGCTTCAGGCCCGGAGACAGAGAAGAAAATTTTCAAAGATTTAATGTTTTTCACTATATAATCAATAGAGCCCCACCCCAACACCAGAACCCCAGACCCTGGGGCAATGAAATTCATAATTTTAGAAGAGGCATTCTTGCTCATCATAACTATGCACTTACTTAGTTTATTTAATACCTAGGAGCAGAGAAGAAGATTTTCAAAGAATTCATGTATTTTCATTTTATAATCAATAAAGCCCCCCCTCCCAACACCAGAACTTCTGACCCTGGGGTCATAAAATTCACAATTTTTGAAGAGGCACTCTTGCTCATCATAACTATGCACTTAGTTAGTTTATTTAATACCTAAGAGCAGAGAAGAAGATTTTCAAAGAATTCATGTATTTTCACCATATGATCAATAGAGCCCCCCCCCCCCCAACACCAGAACCCTTGATGATAGGGCCATTAAATTCACAATTTTTTGTTGAGGCACTCTTGCTCATCATCACTTTGCACTTATATAATTTATTTAATACCAAGGAGCAGAGAAGAAGATTTTCTAAGAATTCATCTTATTTCACTATATAATCAATAGCCCCCCCCCCCCAACACCAGAACCCTTGATGATAGGGCCATTAAATTCACAATTTTGGTTGAGGCATACTTGCTCATCATAACCATGCACTTAGTTAGTTTATATAATACCTAGGAGCAGAGAAGAAGATTTTCAAGGAATTCACATATTTTTCACATATTTTCACCATATGATCAATAGAGCCCCCCCCCCCCCCAACACCAGAACCCTTGACCCTGGGGCCATAAAATTCACAATTTTTGTTGAGGCACTCTTGATCATCATCACTTCGCACGTAGATAATTTATTTAATACCAAGGAGCAGAGAAGAAGATTTTCTAAGAATTCATCTAATTTCACTATATAATCAATAGCGCCCCCCCCCCCCCCCACACACACAAGAACCCTTGATGATAGGGCCATTAAATTCACAATTTTGGTTGAGGCACACTTGCTCATCATAACTATGCACTTAGTAAGTTTATATAATACCTAGGAGCAGAGAAGAAGATTTTCAAGGAATTCACATATTTTCACAATATAATCAATAGAGACCCCCCCCCCCTCCCAACACACACACACCAGAACCCTTGACCCTGGTGCCATAAAATTCACAATCTTGGTTGGGGAACATTTGCTTATCATAACTATGTACTTAGTTAGTTTATTTAATACCTAGGAGTAGAGAAGAAGATTTTCAAAGAATTCATGTACTTTCACTTTATAAGCAATAACCCCCCCCCCTCCCCCACCAGAACCATTGATGCTAGAGACATAAAATTCAAAATTTTTGTAGAGGCACTCTTGCTCATCATAACTATGCACTTGGTTAGTTTATTCAATACCTAGGAGCAGAGAAGAAGATGTTCAAAGAATTCATGTAATTTCACTATATAATCAATAGAGCCCCCCCCCCCCCCAACACCAGAACCTTTGACCCTGGGGCCATAAAATTCACAATTTTGGTAGAGGCACTCTTGCTCATCATAACTTTTTACTTACTTGGTTTATCTAATACCCAGGGGCAAAGAAGAAGATTTTTCAAAGAAATCATGTATTTTTACTATATGATCAATAGAGCCCCACCCTAACACCAGAACACCTGGCCTTGGGGCCATAAAATTCACAATTTTGGTAGAGGCACCCTTGCTCATCATAACTATGTACTTTGTTGGTTTATTTAATACCCAGGAGCAGAGAAGAAGATTTTCAAAGAAATAATGCTTTTTCACCATATACTTATTTAGCCCCGCCCTAGCACTAGAACCCCTGACCCCAGGGCCATGAATTTCACAATTTCGGTGGAGGACTCAATGCTGATTACAATCATGCAAAGAGTTTGACTGCATGATGTCCAGGAGTAAAGAAGAAGATTTTTAAAGATTGCATTATTTTTGTGGTTTTGGCCCCACCTCTCAGGCCCCAGGGGGGCAGGGATCATGAAATTCACAATTTTTGCTCCCCTTCACCCATAGATGCTTTGTGCCAAATTTGGTTGAAATTGGGTCAGTGGTTGCAGAGAAGAAGCTGAAAATGTTCAAATGTTAACGCACGGCGTACGATGGACGACGGACGACGCACGACGACGGACAACAACGGATAGCAATAGGTCACCTGAGTTTACTCAGGTGACCTAAAAATATTTATGAAAATGAAAAACAGAATTTTTAAATTTTTTTTTATAAATATACTTGTAAAACCTGAACTTACAGAAAAGAATTTCTTCAAAAACATATTTAAATAATTCAAAATGACTTATATCTGTGCTAACTTTTAATTCTTCTTTAACCTAATGAATTTCTATTAAATATACAGATCAATATTTTGAAGTTTCAAGTTCTCAATAGTCTTCATGAGTTAATATTCTTACCAGCTTTATCAATATCCACATCTTTATCCCTTTGACACCTGAAATATACACCAGTCACAGTTACAAAATAATGTAGTTTCTACGGAAATGCATGAGAGTATAACAGATAAGAAATTTTTAATGCAAAATCATCCCAATTTGAGACATGTACAGTGCAGCCTCATTTTTATGGACACAAATAATCTACACACTTTACATTCCGAAAGAATTTTTGTGGAACAGAATGAATATTTTAACCTACAAATTATGAAGAATCTTGATGCTTTGCTTAGAGGCTCAACTGTACAGTAATTTAGAGTAAAGGAAGTTTTTATTAACCTTGTTTCCATCTCAATGTTCAGATCCTCTGGAGAATTTTCACAAGGAATGTTCCTCCTAGATGACTGGTCCTCAAGAGTCACTGAGGGCATTTCCTCAGAGGACAAAGCAGTATTCAGGTCCTCACAAAACTGACCCTCCCGAAAACATGAAGCCTTGGAATGTTCAGAAGCTATCACTGTAGAATCGGGAGATTTCTGGGATGTTGTTTTTGTCACTTTCCTTCGTAGAAAATTTTCATTATTTACACCTCTTCCTGAGTTCACATTTAAAATCTTTGGCTCAACAGATTTATTACACAAACTGTTCCTAGATTTTTCAAATTCATTGTCATTTCCTTCTGACAAAATGAAAGTAAAATTTTCAATTCCTGAGCAATTTTTGTCTCTGCATGAGTTACAATGATTATTTTGATTTCTACAAGAGTTTATTACAAAGTTCCCATCCTCTGCAGTGTCTGCACTGCATCTGAAAAACAAAATCATACATGTTACATTTTCATTCATAAGTTTTGTCAAGCACAAACACTTTTTCTTCAGAAAAAAAAACAAAATACTATCTCTTTTAGTCAATAAAGAATGATATATAATTAGACTCTGTTACATTTGTGGTTCATTACTGTCTGAACATTCAAAATTCATGCTTTCAAATTCCTTCTCTGCTGTTCTTGAATTTGTTAAAATTATTTCAATGGAAGGATACATCATATCTTCAATAATAAATGCACATTTCTTGTATCCAAGTCATAAAGTTTCATGCCCCTTTGAAAAAAAGCCAGAGAGAAAAAAAAAATATTGAATCAAAGATGCCTATAACCAAAATCTTCTGAACCTCTGAAAAACATTTTCATGAATTTATCTTTCCTATATCATCTCCAATCTGCAATAATGGCCTTGAACCTCACATCAGGCTTTTCAAGATAAATAATGATCAGTCATTATGCCCTAAGCATTCAGTAAGTAAAAAAATCTCAACTATTTAACTGAATTCCTGATATCATTTGGAAATGAAAATCACATATGCCATGGTGTCCTTGACCTTTGACCTAGTAAAACATCAAAATTTACTTTCAACTTCTAAGTTAGATACTCGATAGAATAATTAAGGCATTTAAGACTTAGCTACTGCATTGAACGCCTGGGTATCAATTCCATCAAATGTTAAACAATATCATTTCACAACTCTTCCAGAGGGGTATAAAAATCATAGAGGTTTTTCAACAATTTTCAATGCATCAAAGCCATTTAACTGAATAAAAGCTGATACACAGATCAAAATGTTTTAATTCACTCAAAATGTCATTCTATCTGGCCTTCTGAATTAGTTCAAAAGTTTCAATACAAGTAATATTTTTGAATTGTTTTTTTTTTATTGATAAAATCCATGAAATATCTTTATGAACAGTTAAAATCATTCATGGAGATGAAAATTTGATTATTTTATAGTACAGTGTATTGTATTGCACTAGTTTTTCCTCAAATCAAACAAAAACTGGTACTACCACTTTAGATAAAGTTTACTGCACTTAATTTTTATGACTTTAAACAAAAAAAAATTGAACAAAAAGAACCTATATAAAATAACCAATCATGCTACCATGCAACAACAAAATTAAGGCCACAGAATGTAAACTTTCTGTTTTTGGTTCCATTTTCAAGGATGAAGTTAGTCAAGCCAGTTTAACACATATTAATATACAGCTCAACGCACATTTTAAGTGCACTTGGTTTTTCGCACAAATTAAGGTCACATTGTTATGATGTAATATTGTGTATCGAGGCATCAAAATACATCTTAAAATTATTTTTTAACATTATTTGAGCTTTATTTCATTTACTAAAACATAATTCACACATATCAATTGGTAGAACTTTGATATTTTCATGGCTGAAAAATAATAACTATTCTCATTTGCATTTTTGTGGTGTCTTGCCAATTGCAGCTGTCTTTTTTTCTGTTCTTTTGAAAGCAATAGCTCTTGGCAGAAACGTAGACACAGGCACAGTTTAGCTACTGTAACTTGTATTTCCTGTACATTTTGACTCTTTAGCTCGGGGTGATAATAGTATTTTTCATCTGTTTGACTGCTTTGTATTTTAATAAGGTTAGATTTATCAGAGTCAACTTCTAAAATCTAAAATCATGAGAAATTCATCCCATTACAAAATTCTAACCTTTCAAACTAAATACAAAGAAATTTTCCTTTTCATAGAAGGAATTTACTATTTTAAAAAATTAACAATACTTCATTATCCCACCCTGTAGTGTGGTTTCCTTCTGCAATGTTATCCCTTTTCTGGCACTACATTTCGACAAAACCAAGAGGAGTATGGTAAATGAACAAAGAATTTTAAAATATACTCACCTTTAAGAAGAAAATTTGAAAATTTCAACTACATGGTGTCAAGGAAAGCTTGTTTTATACAATTTGTAAAAATTTATGGTAGAATCGTATAGTCGAAACATCGTACCATATACATATACATTCCCCTTAAAACAGCCACTTTGAAAACTTAAGATAATAATTTTAAAAGACATCTATGCTTGAACATTATATATGTAATATAACAAAGGGTTATGTCATTGTAATGCAGTTCGAAAAATGGTAATATTTATTACAACAATGTGACCTTAATTTGTGCAAAAAACCCTGTGAGCTTAAAAAGTGCGTTGAGCTGTACTTTGAAATATTATCATTTTTTTAAAAACACTTTTTCCAGGCCCAAAGCCTGATATATGTACTACTAAGTATGCATGTCTTTCTTGTTTACTTTTCATTCTTCAAAAACAGCATACATGCCAACTTTTGAAAATTCCCATGGGGGATTTACCACGTGACGACAATTTTCAAAGCTTTAAATTCGCGACATTTTGTCGTGAAATTAAATGATTATGAAATGATTTTTTTTAATTTATAATATTGATATCACTTATCAATAAAACTCAAGGATTAATTTACCACAAAAAATGTTTTTCTCACTCAAAATTGAAATATTTTTGCTAAAATACTGGTGCCTCTCTCACTAAAGAAGGGGTGTTTAGTTACATATATAAACAACTTTTTTTCTTTTTGCCAGGACAGAATTTAGTGAAAAATTGAAAATTGTACAACTTTAAAATCATTTTTTTCAAAGGCTAAAAATAAATGAGGTGTTGATACTGTAAAGTCCTGTTTCTAGAAACATTTTTTATTTATATTTCAATTAATTAGAAATTCTAATAAGATATTAAATTTACAGAAATTTATACCACCTATCCAAAACAAAATTATTTTTTTTTACAGTCATGAAATTTGTCAGGCTTGATGGTGCCATGTGGGTATTTCCTTAAGTCATGCACATAGATCTACCTAACATATTACTTTTGGGAGAAGGGAGGGAAAAGAATTTCTAATTGACATACACTTGATTGTTTCATCTTAATTTTTTAATAATATTTTAACTGGCAAACTTTACAATATTTTTCATTATAGGTAGATAAAATCAGCAGCTATGCTTTATTAGTTTTCTACTTTCGTTTTCAAAAAACGATCTCTTTTGATTCCGTTTTTATTGTTTGATTTGCATTCTGTTGTCTTTAATTTATATTTTTAATAAAATGACAAACAACTATCTAGTTAATCTATGTGTTTCACCTTGCATACCCTTTAAAACTAACAAGATAATCCCCTAATTGCCCCAAGCTATAAGCTTCTTGCTCCAGTGGACAACTTCGTGCGTTCAAGCGTGAAGTGATTTCCTGTGTCTAGGCCTAATTAACATCTGGTTAAATAAACAATGAAACTTATCTGTGTGCATTGATTAAACAAGTCTGACATTGTTATCCCGATTGTCAAAATTCAGCGGTAGGGAATTACTTTTAAAATCGGAAATTTTGGTGATTTTTTTTTTCAAATCGGGAAACAAGGGCAATTTTGCTTTCCCGATCGGGAACGCGGGATGAAAGGGTAAAATCGGGAGGATCCCGCCTAAATCGGGAAAGTTGGCATGTATGAAAAACAGTCGATACAAAATAAACTTTCAAACAGAAATATTGACAAGAAACAAATAATTTACATTTCATGACCTGAAACTTTTTCTGTGAAAATCACCTTCTTGGTGATAAAGATATAGTATTGGGGACCTGTACCCGGTCTTGGGTATTTGAGGGATCCACCATTGCAAGGAGTTCAAGAAGGTCATCAGAGGTCAAAGTTGACTTGTCATGGATAACATCCAATAACATCTGGATTTCTGGAGCTTGCTGGCAGTCTTTCAAGATGTCAGGATTTTCCAATATCTGATATAAAATTTTTTTTAGTCTTTTTGCTCACAGACAACAACCAAATATGAAAACAATCTGCAAACTGTATGTATTAAACTCTTCTATCAGTTTTAAGACAGTCAGACCTATTTATCTTTAACTCGATGGGTTAAAAAACTTCAAGATACCTAAGAATTCAAGATATTGAGGTACAGTGTACTGACTTTGACATATTCATGTTCTTTACATATTGACTAACAATTATATCTTGTGTTATCATATATGCTCTATACATATTAAAAGAAAATCTAACCAAGAAAAGTCAAATGTATGGAAAGTTTTTATGAATCCCTATGTTATCAAAGGTATCCATAGGGGCATACATTATTGCTTTACCTGTGCTAACATAGGCTCAGGAAAATAGCCCTGAATCTTGTCCACAAACCAGGTACACATCTTCTGCAAGGCTTCATGAAATTCTTCTCCGTACTCTTCTGAAAACTCCTCTCGAAAGTAAGCCTCAGCTCGTCTGCTGTTGGCGAGTAAGGGGAGGTAAAACTTTCGGAAGTTCATGTGAACCATGTGGAGCCGAGACAACTGCTGAGGACACTGATAGAAATGACATTTTTTAAAATAATATTATACAAAAAAATATAAATAACTTGAAAAATATAACAATTTTTTAGAAAAAGTTCAATCAAGTCATTATTTTACATGCAATTTGAAATGATTTTGTAAGAATTTAAAAAAATGAAAAGCATGTACCATTTTTTCAAAATGTGTTTTTGATGAGGATGCGTCTCTAAATGTATTTTTTTTAATGTACCGGGTATATGTATTGTAACACAGTACCAAATTTATAGCAGCTAATATCTAATACTGTAGAAGTACTTTTTTCTGCGTAGTATTAACTTACGCTATGTACGCGGTCACAAATTTTCACAGAAAATTTGTCAAAGCATACTTAATATAAATGCAAGGCATATAGTGACAGTCTAAAGAAGTATGTCTACAGTATAAATCACCCCTTTTTCTATGCAACCAGGGTGCTTAATATGATAAATATGGTACATTGTATTTTGCAGTCTTTGAGATTCACTTTGACTATATTGCATTGTACAGATATACAAACCACTTCTGGGAATTCAGGCTTCTTACGGGGGAAGTATTTCGTTAGCTTTGATAGACAATCCTTTTCTTTGTTCTTGAGCATATGTAGCAAAACCTAAAAGAAAAAACAAAATTCAGGAATCATCACCATTATGCATATTACACCATGCAACTGATGAACATTAAGATATTACTGTCATTATTAAAAAATTCTTATGTATTTTTATAAAATCAATCATCTAACATCTCTTTTAAATTATTATCAAAAAGCTTTTCACCATTTCATTTATTCTGAGTTTAAATGTTAAAAAATGATACAAAACCTGAAAAAATTGGTTTTATCAGTACCGGTACTCACCAGCATTTTAAGACCAACAACTAGTTTGGAATAGAGTTTAAACACAACTGCATTGGGACACGACACATAAATGAAGTCCATTAGATCTACTGCAAGCTCTAATTTGATTGGATCTGATGGGAAATTGTGGACGATGTCGTGTAAAGTACTGCAAGCCAACTGGACATCGGATACTCCCAGGTCAGACAACTGTCCAGCAAATCGGGACAATACAGCTAGATGAAAGTATTAAAACATCTTGTATAGTGGATAGCTTTAGAAATGTTAAGAGGGTGTCATTCAGTGAAAAGCCTTTAAAAATTTCATAAAGTCTGAATTAATTTTTTCTCTAATTTAGGTTCATAAATCCTCTGCTAGGTCATATAAATTTTTTGAAATTCTTTAATTCTTATGATTTTCCAATAGAAATTATTTTTTTAAGTAAAATACAAAAAAATTAGAGCATAACTTAAGGGCACAATTGGACAAAAAAGATAATTCAACTTGACAAATTTATATAGGAATAATAGACATTTATGTCGTTTAAAGTTATCTCTCTTATCAGAGTATCGATGAGCCTTAAGCTATAAAAACAATTTCATATACTGTATCAGTAGAAATTTGAGAGAAGATTCGATTTTGGAATTTCTAGCAAGGGTGTTGAGATCACTAAACAAAGACATCAGCAACAATTTATTCTACATAAGAGGTTACATTTAGGTCTTAATGCACGATAAAATAGCCAAAATTACTTCTTGCTAAAATTAAATACAGGGAAAAATTTAAAATTTGTGTCTCCTGAAAAATTCTACTTTGACAGTAATTTCCATTTCTTTTAGTTAAAGATCAGGGATTTAAGTAAACTCCTTCATCCTTCTACATGTTCTAAGATTCCGAACCCTCTGACAGTGTTTCGTCCCACATGAATCAATTTTTAACACAATGCCTAAGTTTTTGAGTTTTCTCAAATAAACCTTCATATCTTAAAGTTCTAAAAATCTTTGTTTAATGTTGACTCTCTCACATACCTTTCAATTTAAAAGATTCAAAAACCTTAAGTGGTTAACTTTAAATTCCCACTTTTACCCATAAATAAGTTTTCCTGCTCACAGTTGTATTTTGAGGGAGCCCAAACCATCCCGGCCCTTCCATGTTTTTTCTGAACATCCAAAACCTCCACAAAAATGCTTTGCTGATATCCAAGTATGTTTTAATGAACTTAATTAAAAAAAATATAATATATGCCTTTTTTTCATAATTTATTCATTAAATTCATAGATTATTTGCTATTCTTCACGTATTATTTTTCACATAAATTATTCATTTTCATTGCACATGTTCAAAATTAATAAATCGATCCATAATTATTAATCACACCAAAGAATAAGTGTAGCTACAGTTTTTGAACCACATTTAGCATGTTTAGATTTGCTAAGTGAACACATACTCCAATTCATCAATAAGTAATATGCATCAAGCAGTACAAAATTCCTATACAAATCACAGGTAAGGTATTTAAAATAAACCATTAATATTAAACATTAATTTGTGATCTTAAAATTGTTCCTGATAATTCAAGTCCATAAACATTGATGCATGTGAACCATCTTACATTACCAATAAGCAAAGTTTTATTTTTTTTTTTAAATAATCTTACCATAACCTTTTCTTAATTATGTACAAAACAGTTGCAATGAAAAACACTAGAGCAAGAAATATCAGAAATTTGTCTGTAAGTTGTCTACGATTGTATTTTGACAATAATTTTTGTGAAGTCCCTATATGAGCTCCCATGTTCTTGAATTCCTCCATTGTATCTGTCACTGTACCAGAGCTCTTGATCAATGTCCCTTTCGTAGCCTCACTTTGACTCAGTTGCTCCGTCAATTTCTTGTTGATGCCATATAAACTTTCTGTAATTGCTGTAGCTTGTTTGACCAAGCTCTCTTTATTTCGTCCCCTCTGCCTTATGCCTGAACCTCTGGAGGTCATCAACTTTTCAGTATTTGCTTTCTCCATGGCAAACTTGGCTGTTAAGTTGGACTGTCTGAGAGAGGTGATTATATTAGACAATCTATCTTTATGGTTTTCCACATCTCTCATGATGACTTGTCTGTCTTCTTCTAAATCTGCTTCTATTCCAAACACTTCCAAGTCCTCAATTTTCTTCTGAAGTTTTCCGATTTTTAGCCTTGCATCTTTGTTTAGATCCTCCAAAATATCTTCCGTCAAAGCACACTCACGGATGTCCTGGATCAGTGCTTTTATTTCTAAATCAAGCTTCACAATTTCTTGAAGACAAGATCTTACTTCAGAATCTTCTGCAGCCATTTTCACTAATATACCAACGTTGTACCAATAATAACTCTAATTTAAAATTCACAAATAAAGAAAGAGAGAGGTTTGTGTTAGAGCTGTTGATTTAAACATAAAATACAGTACCCTCTGTCACTGTTTTTAGCTGGTTCTTCACAGAGTATTCTAAAATCCACTTCACTTCTTCCATGCTTCATCTAATGTGAACAACTGAAAAGTGAAATAAAAAGATGTCTCTGAATAGCTAAATATAAAATAGTAATGTTGAAGGAGATGACTGTTAAACTCATTAAAAAGATAAATATTCTTTTCTTCAATACAAAGATAAACATAATTTGCTATCTATCTGTGATGCACAAACTACATTACTTTTTTCAATTGTGGGAACAGCATTCCTTTTTCCCATATCGGATCATTGATATCTTTCAACAATTTCACAATATTATGAGATAAAATCTTCAAATAAAGCCTAACTGATCTTAATATTTGGTAATTTAAGTAAAATGTTATACCTTTTTCATTCAATCTTTTTCTAGTATCGCATAATCAAGCTTGTAACATCAATTTCTCATTTTCTGATCTTCTCCACGCAAGCAGTAAGGATGGGTCTAAATACCGCAAAATTTCAATATCACACTTATGCGATTAATTTAAAAATACCATTTACTAAAATATTTTAAAAATGTACCAGTTGACAAACTGTTAAAACAGCAAATCTTGCTAACAATCAAAAGTAGTGAACATTCTTTTATTTCATATTTATTTATTTATTTTCTTTTAAAACTTTCCCACAAAGAGTTGGAATTTCGATCCCGATCAATAAGATTTTTCTATTTTGCATTTTTAGCCTTTAAATTACCTCAACCTGAATTTTAGATGCACTATAAAATTAATATAATTCAACAAAAACTACTTACTTGCAATCAGGGAACTATATGTCCCTGGTGCGATATACTGTTAATAAGGGGAGAGAGAGAGAGAGAGAGAGAGAGAGAGAGAGAGAGAATTCCATGTCTTTTAGAAAATGATTACTTTCAAGCCAGGTTTTCAGAACAATTTTGAATGCAGACTAGCCATAATAAACAGAATCATAAGAATAGTCATACTATTTAAGATAATTGATACTTAATATTGAAGATAATATTTATTTTTTTTTTTTTTTGGATGGATAAAAATAATTTATAATGATCGTAATTTAGATGTGGTAAATGTGCAGAAAATTTATCTTATTTAATTTTTCGATGAGTATCATGAACCATAGTCAGAGCGCTTTGGGGTCGTCCCTTCGCACAGTGTTTTTGTAATAAAATCTTCATAAAATCAAACAATTCTTTTTACTTTAAAAAGCGTATAAATGTTGAAAAAAATATGAACAAATTTGGTGATTTCAAAAATATTATCTTGAGTGGAATATCAAAGTTATCTCTCTTTTGTCACGTCTCGGGAAATCCATACAACAAATTCTTGAATCTTTATAAATTATAATTTAATATCCTAAATGTGACCAAGTGTTTTCCATGAGGGTACTCCAATCTTCTTTGCAGAGTAACTGTTGTCTTTAATAGACATTAGGATATCTGAACCGATGGTAGAAAGTCAAGATATTCATATCAATTCAAAATTTACTTTAACTTGCACACACCAGCATTAAAAAATGTTCAACTATAATCATTTACAACATTAATCAGAAACAGAAAAAAGAACAGCAAATTGAAATTAACCTGTTTGACTTCATATTGTGAACTTTAGAAGCGTATTTGAGAAATTATTTGAAAAAGTGCAGTATCGAAAGTGAGAAGTGAATCCATGCATTTTACGTGGAAACACCTTTTACATGTCTTACATAGAATGAGGTAAAAATAAAGCAGCTATATATATTTTGCGAGGTTAGCACATTTTCTCAAGAGGGTCGTATATGCTCCCGGCTTTGAAAAATAGAGAACATCAAGAAACTTGTGCATCATAAAAACAACAACAATCCAGAAAAAAACAAACAACAATAAATAATTTTAAAAAAAAACAAACTAGAAGATGAAGAAGTTTGTTTCGATGTTGCTATAATTGCTCAAGACTTTTAAAATAGCTTTAAAAGCACAGTGTTATATAATGTATATACATGTATACAGTGTGTATTGTATACACTATATGATATTGAACACTTCTTGTTCAAGATGAAAAAGGATTGTCCTATCTCTAATCACCTGTCTAATCCCAGAAGTTTTGTACTCAAAAACGAACTTTGACCTTGAAACCACGTGATCCTGCCCCACCAGTTCTACATACTGGCATTGGTCTTGAAAATTGATAATATAAAGGGATTTGGCTCGGCAACAACCTCAAACTAATATCAGAACAGTTTACAAAACATTTTGATGTGTTGATACAAGCAGTTGGAATATTGAGCCAAAGGAAAAAAATCAGCTACCATCGAGTTACCCCCCCCCCCCCCAAATATTGTTACGGTCAAAATATTTAACCACTCGTGTGTGGTAAATTGTTCGAGACTCAAACTCTAATGCATGTCAATTCTTTTTTAAAAGAATCGAACAAAAACAAATGAGGGCGAAGGGGTAGATCCGAACCCACAGTCGAAATTACCAAAATGACCTTGATAACCACTTCACTTTAAGACGCGCATGTTTCATATATAAAAGTCAGGATTCACAGATTTCGGGCCCATAAGAAAAGAACCCCCTTTTTTATATGGAAATTTATTTGGGTTTTCAAAAACGCATTTGGAAAAGTTTACACCCTTTTGTTTAATTGATTAAAGCAGAACATCCATTTTGATAAGAGATATACTTAAAAGACCTTTTACAGTCATTTATAATCAGCTCTTTCAAAACCACTTAATTAATACGCAAATTATCTTCTTTTGTCAATATTTTTGAAACTTATTTTGATAATTTGACCTAAAATTTTACACCCATATTTTTTGCCTGTTATAAACTGTGGATATATTAATCTCTTTATAAACAATGTAAAAAGCAAAATAATTTAAAAAAAAAAAGAAAAAAAGAAAACTTTTTTTCGGATATAAACTCTTTACATGTACTTTATAGGAAAATGCAGATAACAATGTGATATTCTGATTGAAAAAGCAGCGCTTTTTATACACATATTTCACAGAAAGATATAAATCATTGATGTGACAATAAATTATCGCTCTTTCTATTCTCTTAGTCAATTTTCTTCATATCATGGTTAAATTGAAAAAGATAAATTATTGAAGTACATGTAAGTAATAATCAGACTTCATACAATTTTCCATTTGAATCCGGTGCATTTGATGACGAAAATCAATGTTGAGAATTACTTTTTTTTTAACGAATATAAAGCAGAGGGTCATTACCCTTTAAGTGGAAATTAACACCTAACGTGGGTAACCCCCCAACCCCCAAGACAAGGGGGGGGGTCCCGTAAGATAAAAAAAGCGATTTTTTGTGAAAATTTAGATTTTAAACTAAGCCACTGCCAATAAAACGAAGCTCATGAATCGGTATGTAACCTCCTCTGCATGTGATGAAAGATTGTGTAATCATATTGCATGAATTGTTGCATTTGCCCTTTTCTTCTTTGCAAGCTGCTTTTTACATGTGAAAGTCGGTCAATAAATATTTAGGTTCAACCTTTTTGAGGTATATATCATAAACCTTGACGCTTTTCTAAACACATTGTTCTAGCGAAATGATCTCAAATTATTCAGGTAGTTCTGGATATGTACAGTTAAACTTTGTTTTCTCGAATGAATAATACAAAAGCCCCCAATTTAATGCCTTCACCGTATATATTGATGCCCGTATTATTTCCTTTATTTTCAACTCAGTTGGAAAGGGAGGGAGGTCAATTTCATATGATGCTATATATAGCTTTTGACTTGATCTTGAAACAAAAACATTTAGACAAGGTCAAGTACAAATAATTATCCAAAATTTATATGTCTAGTCTATCTTTACAATAGAGAAATATCAAAATTTGAATTTAAGTCAAATGCAGCGTTGGGGGGGGGGGGAGGGGGCTGGAGGTCGGGTGAACAAGGTTAAGGTCAGGAAGATCTTGTCCGAACTTGAACTAGGTTGGGGAGTAAACAGTTTATCAAAACGAAGACTGTTTCTGAACCCAATAGTTAAAAATAGCAAAATATACTGACATATGACCGATGAGTTTTATTGCACAGTCTTTCAAACATATTGGGGGAGGGGAGAGGGTTACTCGATTTGCGAACGGCATATTTCTTTATATGTAAGGATAGCTAATTAATACATGTAATTGTATATCATAAAAGTGCCCAAAGCACAATGGGCTACTTTGAGCAGTTGTTTTATTGCAAGCAGAGTATTTTGTTTGCTCTGTATTTGTTGCATTTGTAGCGACACTTGTTCATCATGGACAAAAATTGCCTAACATTTACAGTCATGTTCTTAAAAGATAAAAAAAATTCTAAAGCATAACCGCATTTCTTGAAACAGTATAAATATAATAACAAAAGGGATCCTTTAAAAAAGAACATCGGCTCAGAGGCAGATGTACACATCTGTTCTGTTTTCTTTGATATGGTACAGTGTGCCTCGTATCAGGACAAATATGAAGTATTTTATGTAGAAAACAGGTTGTGCCCTGCTTTGAATCAAGGTTTTGGGCCAGTCACATGTCGGTAAAAAATAGCAACCTTCTGACGAACTTCAGACTGCGTATGATTGTTGAAGTAAAGTAAAGAACGGCAGCTAGCGGATAGATAGAGAACAAGATGAAACAAGAAAAATTTATCACTACCATAGATGCTCTTGGGAATGGGGAGGGGACTGTACCCCTACAATCTCCCACCTCATTATTTTCATTAAAATAAAAAAAAAACAAGATGTGTTTGTGAAACACGGATGCCCCCGTATGGCAACAAAGTGAAGGTTAAGCTTTCTCAAATGCAGATCAAATATGTTGGTACCTAAAGTAAGGCCTTTGCACATGAAATACAGATGTGAAATATAAAACCCTAGCATCACCTGTTCAAGGGTTATGGCCAAGGTTAACATTTTTAAAGGTAGGAAAACTCTGGGGTCAAGGCCAAAGGGTCAAGGTTGTTGGTTTCTGAAGAAAGGCCTTGTCTCAAAGATTACATATGTAAAAGTATGAAAGCGCTGGCCCTTACCGTTCAAAAGTTATGGCCAAGGTTAAAGTTTGTAAAAAGTAGGTCAAACTCCAAGGTCAAGATCAAAGGGTCAAGGTTCTTGATATCCAATGAAAGGTTTTGTCACAAGGATTACATATGTGAAATATGAAAGACCTAGCCCCTACGGTTCAAAAGTTATGGCCAAAGTTAAGGTTTGTAAAAAAGTAGGTCAAACTCTAAGGTCAAGGTCAAAGGGTGAAAGTTGTTGATATCCAATTAAAGGTCTTTTCACAATGATTGCATATTTAAAGTATGAAAGCCATAGCCCTTACCGTTCAAAAGTTATGAAAAAGGTTAAAGTTTTTTCGTAAGTACGTAAATCTCCAAGGTCAAGGTCAAAAGGTCAAAATTGTTGGTTTCAAATGAAAGGTCTTGCCAAAAAAATTTGATATTTGAAATATGAAATTCCTAGTATCTACCATTTAAAA